TATACCATCCTCAGAGAAAGGGCCCGAGCCCTGCTCCTACAGGATTGGGAAGATTCCCTTCCAACACCCTCCAACTACTCCTATCCCGCCTCACTGGCCCCCCACCCGTTCATGGGACTGGACAAGTTCGCTGCGAGCCGCATACATCAGATGCGTTCAGGCAAAAGCTACCTCATGGCCAACCCCACCTGACGCGACGATCCTGACTGCTCAACCACCTGCTCTCAGTGTCAAGAAGCCCCCGAGACCTACGAATATGCCATTCTACACTGCCCGGCCAGAGCTGATGCCAGACACCGACACCTAAGTACGGTCAAAAGCCTCTCGCCCGAGAGCCTAATTTGGAACCTCCCCCCCTCCCTCTCAGCGCTCCGGCGCTACATCCTAGACACTCAGACCGGGTTTCCATCTAGCAACACCCCACCCCTGCACTGAATAAACACCCCACCCTCCGTGCCCCGTCCCGAACGAAACCCCCCACCTCCCCCCCACCCTTAGACCTTCAGTTCAGCAGGTGATACTTTCCTTTGTAGAGTTTTTGTTACTTGCGAAGCGTGATGGATTGTCCCTATATTAGTTATGTTTTTGACAGTTGAGGCCGACGGTTTTTGGCTTCTTTACTTAGTACTAGCAGAGTGTGGGAAATGGTTTCTTTTGTTATTTGTTTTGCTTTATAGGTTTTGTTTTTTCCATAGCTACCGCTACATGAAGCTTTTTGTACCTTAAAACAATAAACGCATGATATAAAAAAATAAAAATAAAAAAAAGCAGAATTAGATATAAAATAGAAGACTATTTAAGAGGAACTTAGAAAATCTAGTATAGCGACCTGGGTCAGTGGAGGGTAAAGGGGGAACCCTTAGTGTAATCTGAATTTCAGGAGTACTTCCTGAATATAGTTTATCATATCCGGAGTGCTTCCTGAAGATTGTGTATTGCGTCCGGTGCTTCCTGAAGGTTTAGTACAATATGTGGTTACCTCCAGATACAGGTTTAGCACTATCCTGCGTCTAAAATTGAGGTTGACATTTTGAGCGTCCTGTGGGTCTGAAGCACAGGAAGCACCGGACCCATACCATAAATTTCGATGATATAGTGAAGCTACTGTTGGGACGGAAAGACATCAACCCAGACTTTTCAGACAATCATGGCAGAACACCACTCTCATGGGCTGCCAGACTGTGCCATCATGAAGTAGTAAAGGTACTACCGGAACGTGAGGATATTAACCCAATATAACAGATCAAAATGGCCAAGCACCGCTCTGGTACACTATCGAGGTGAACTCATTCAGTGCTTCCAACGGGCCAGGCCATTCATAGGCCAGTATAGGCTGAATTTGTATGGCCTGCGAAGCATCAGCAAAAAAACAGCCTGCCCCCTGTGCCTCATGTCGTTGAGTTTTACGTTTTGGCACATCGTGAGTCCTATGATCCCAATATTAAAAATCCCGTTAGTTTGACTAAAGAAGATAATATTAATTCTGTTTTCTGCAAAATATGAGCAATTTTTATTAAGAACTCACGGACTTTTTACATACCGAAGTTGAGAAATTTGAGTTCATAACATACAACTTTGTAATGTAAAATGTCTATGAGATATTGATAAAAATAGCTCATATTTTGCTAAAATTAAGATTTGTATCTGATCATTAGGGGACACAATCGGAAGCATCATGATTAACCAGGGTCACTCGTGATTAGCCAAAACGTAGAACTCAACGACATGGCTCACCGTGGAGCACAAAAGACAGATTTTTTTTTTGCTGATGCAAAGCCTATCAGGCCTGATAGGCGCCTATAGGCCTGGAGATTACCGCTCGAAACATATCGCTTCATGGGTATCTTTATTCCACCACCACTTTCTACTTCCACATGGTCCATTTTTTTCTACCCTTAATTTTAATTAACTAATTAACCACCGCATCTCAATTATTTTTGCTGATAAAGCCAAATTTTTCTTGTATTTTCAATGGTACTTAGTAATTAGAGAACATTAACTGTAAATTTTTGCCATAGACACTACATGGTGGCTTGCCAAGAGTAAGCCATGCAGGCGGGCCTAGGCTATATAGGCCAGGCCGGCCTATCAGGCAGCCAGTGATTAAAATAATCGGCTATGGCGAATAACGGCGATATGGGAAACGGCGAGTGATCGGAGGTGAAACGAAATGAACGCCAAGGCAACACTAAACGGGACAGATCGCAACTTGAAAGCGGAAAAGGTAAAGACTCTCTCTCATTCAACTCAATACCACGATGCTCGATGATCGACTAACTAACAGGAATAACATAGGAGTATAAATAAGGAAAAACAACAATCTCCTTCTCCCATCCTCCGAGTCCTATTCATCTATCCATTAAGTCCAATCCTTCCACGCAGGACTACAGCCTTCCATGCATGTCAGGTGTTCCACGCAGGTTCCCTCTCTTCCATGCAGGTCTTCTTTTCTTCCACGCAGGTCCCAATAGAACAAACATCATGCTAACAAAGAAAAGAACTATCGTGATAATGAAAAACTCTTCAGGCGCTGTAGCCTACTTGCATCCAACTATTTTCTCACCGATCGCAAGCGCATATCCGTAGTTTGTCGAACGATAATGGAGTATGCTTAACTGCATAAAAGAACTCGTTCTCTGAGGTATCCACCCGTCGCGCATATGCGGTGAACTTCTTTGTCTGAATGATTGCTGGATAGGATGCGTGCATACAGGTCCGATAGATATCGTGAGATATGGTGGGTGAGTATGACGAGCAGCATCAACAATTCCAACAGCCAGTACTAGGCCTATATGGCCTATAGGCGGGCCCGGCCCGGCCAGGCTCAGGCTTTCCCAAGCCTATAGGCTCGGGCCAGGCCAGGCCCCGGAGAATTCCCATAGGCCAGGCCAGGCTTTGCCGAAGCCTGGCCTGTTGGGAACACTGAACTCATTGCGAGTAATACAGCTACTGTTAGAGAGGAAAGACGTCACCCCTGATATGTCGGGCCCTTTTGGCATAACACCGCTCGTGACAGCGGCCAAACATGGGTCTCATAGAGTAGTGAGGCTGCTACTACAACGTAAGGATGCCGACCCCAATACGGCTGATGACACTGGCCTAACACCGCTTCGGTGGGCTGCTGGGCGTGGGGATCATAGTGTGGTAAAGCTATTGCTGGAACGGGAAGATGTCATCCTGGATATCCTAGATATTGATGGCCAAATAGTGATGGGCACGATCATGCTCGAGCATAGGGCCAAATTTTCTGCTCAAGCATGATCGTGCCCATCACTATGGCCAAACTCCTCTCACGAGTGCTGCTAGTGCTGGGAGTGATAGAGCAGCAAAGCCACTGTTAGGATGCCAAAAAGTCAACCCGAATATTACAGATAAAACAAGCAAAACAGCTCTTTCATGGGCTGCCAGGCGAGGTCATGACGGATTAGTGAAAATACTGCTAGGAAGGGGTGATGTCAACCCCGATATCCCTAACTATGACGGCCAAACAGCCTTTTGGTGGGCTACTTCTTCCAGGAACAAACTAGCGGTCAATCTACTGGAAGCCCGCCAGCCCGCGAACGGTTCAAAATTCACAGAGGTTGCGCCTCTCGGACATGGCTTGAACATGAAAGAATTGTAATGGGGGAGAGGTTCGTTTGCGGAGGATAGAGGACTGAGGAGTTCAGTATCAGATGAGGGATGGGATGAATAGTGTAGGAAATGAATGATGCAGGAACATGTAGTATGTTTCAGGAAATTGCATAAGGAATTTTCAGAGGTTAGAGATAACAGGGTTTGCTCAATCAGACCTCGGTGTATGTAAAAATCTTAACTTAGGCTCTGTGAATTGCCATGGCCATCCAAGTGACAACAGACACCAGGTGGGAGAATGAATACAAGTCGAAGGCCGACATCATATGGGGCATAACTCTGGTACCGACGTTGCGAAGTGTCGGCGCCATCACCTTCGGCATTGCTGCCGACATATAGGAGAGAAAAGGGCTGTTTATTCTGAATAATATTTTGTTTACTGTTTTGGAGATGACAACTGGTTTCTGTAACGAGGAGCTTGAGTGGATCGCCGACGTGGTTGGGGAGTTTGGTTATAACATAGGGGCAACCAAGAGCCACTATAGATCTATGGATAATAGGTTCCTTGACAATGCCCCTGTAAGCCAAACTTCCCAAAGTCCACTTCCTGATGTGGGGGCGGAGAGAGCTTCACAGTCTCAAGAGCTGGGAAATATGATTATAGGTAGCAGAGAATTTGGGTATAACGTTGGGGACCAGCTTAGCTCCCACCTAGGCTGATGCGAGACTCATGGGGCGGACCTCCAAGGTAAAATAATAGCGGGTGGATTAGGGGCAAGCGCAGAGGTTAGCAAAGGCCAGAGGGCAAATGATCCGAAGCATACTAGTAAGTAATGAGTGGTTTTTTTCTTAACAATTTGTTTGGCAAGCCTAAGACCCGTGCCACCAAGATTTGTATAGAATACCGAGAATGTCATTTTTAACAGATAGGGGTGTAAGTTAGCCTATATATATATAATTCATTTTATATAACTGCTTGGAAGTAGTAGTAAGTAGTCCACGGTATTTCGAAAGCCCGATCAAAGGGTCGTGCGCGTTACGCACCACCGTTAACACCAGTACTATAGAGCGTTAGTGTGAAGCATTGGGACCATGGGTGTGGTCTTTTTTTTTCTTTCTTTTGTTTTTCATGGAGGCCGATCATTGACCCGTGAAATACAACAAGAAACCCAAATACCATAATAGAAATAATCGAATGCCGCCCCCCCCCCCAGGGATATTAAATTACCTTTTACTAATAAGGTCCAGCACTCCTTTTCCATCCCGTATTCTTTATCTTAAACTTAAACTAAGGCGATCACTTTTTGCCATCCCCCTGCTATCCAAGAGAAGGAATTTTTGACGTCTTAGCGCCGGATCCAACTATCCGAGTTTGTCACTCTGTTTGTGAATGATGGATGCAAAAAGTTTTTGTCATACATCGATCGGCCTGGTTAGCTCAGTGGTAGAGCGTGTGGCTTTTACGGGGAAATCAAATCCCGGTGATGATCACCTCAACGTCGCGGGTTCGACCCCCGCATCAGGCTGGTTTTTTTTTTTTACTTTTTTCTTCTCTTGTCGTGTATCAAGTGGGTTAGTTGGTAAGTGAATGAGTGAAGGAGGTGGGCGATAATATCTGGAGTCCCTTTTGTATTATGGCTTAATGATATATACCGCGAGCGAGTGCAAAAGTGAATTAGGAAAAAAATGGTGAGGTTTGAATGAGCGCTAAATGGCATTTTTCCACCTTCACCACGATAATATTATTACATGAACTAATTTATATACATCCCATAAGCCCCCCCTACCACCAGGGTGGTTTCACACTACACGACACAAGCATCAATCAAAAACAATCTTCTTACCCCCACTACCGCTCTTCAGCACCTCCTGCACGACCACCATCTTACCCTCCCTAGCTTTCCTCGCGGCTTCCCAGGATGGGTGAAGTTTGCCCTCCGTCTGCCCCTCCTTCTTTTTCTCCTTCTCCACCTTCCTCTCTTTGCGCTGCGCTTCTTGCTTCAAGTGAGCCGCGTTCTGTCCGTACTTTTTCTCCCAGAGGGCGCGACGGGCTTGCTGGCCCATGCGGTTCTTCCGCTGCTTTTTCTCAGGGGGACCTTTTTTGTGCTTGGGTGGGGTGGTGCTAGAGGTGGAGGAGCAAGAGTCGGAGATGTAGCCGGTTAGGAGGGTGGGGAGGAAGGTGCTTGTTCCCAATTTTTGTGTTGGCTTTGATTTGGACTTTGGCGCTGAGGACACGGACGAGTCCTCCTCCTCTGTAGCGTGGTGATAGGGTCCTGCATCGCTTTCGCTTTCACTCTCGCTGGAGGATGCAGAGGAGGCGACCCTTGAGTCAAAGGCGGAAAATGCATCTAGGCCAGCAGAGTCTATTCCTTTCCAGACGTCTTCTTGGTCTTCTCCTTCCTCTTCCTCATGTTCCGATTCGCTATCGCTGTCGCCGTCGTCGTCGGAGGCAGAAACCGGCAGGCTAGTAGATTCAACCTCCTCCTCCTCCTCCTCCTGCTCCTGCTCCTCCCCCTCCCCCTCCTTTCTCCCCTTCTCCTTAACCCCGTTAACCCCCTTACTCCTCTCCAACCTCTCCTCAATCTTCCTCTTCCCTTCCTCCTCCTCCACCTCCCTATCACCACCGCCCCGCACCACCTCTTCCCCCTCATCAATACCCAAAATCCGCCTAACACTCCCCAGCACATCTCCCATAGCCTCCCTCACCGCTTTACCCCCATACAGCCTAGCACATACATCCAGCTCCACCTTTCCCATCCCCGCACCTCCCCATCCTCCCCCTCCCCTCCCCCTCCGCGCTCCAAACCCCCAATCAAAAACCCCACTCCGAACACACCTCCCATCCCTCCCCACGCATCGGCGTAAATGCGCCCGCGCGAGCACATCCAATTTCAACTTTTTCAATACTTCCAATTCCGCCTCTAACCTTGCCGTTGACCCCGTCGTTGGGGTTGTAGAGGTGCGGGAGGACTTTATCCGCCGGATCAGCTTCACGGTTTCAAAGCCGCGGGCTTTCTTCAAGACACGGAAGATCCGCTTGTGGTAGTTTGGGAGGGCGGAGGTTAATGATTTGGTGACCTGGGCGTGGGCGCGCGCTGGTAGGGCTGTGGTGCTGGTGCTGGTGATGGAGGGATGGGTTAGGCGCTGGGATTTGCTAGGTGGATTGGTGAAGGGGTTTTTTCGTTTCGGCATTTTTGGTATTCTTCGTTGTTTGGTTGGTGAGGTGATAGGTTGGGACACATAGTCCAGATAGGAAGTTTTTCTCTTTTCCCCTGGTTGTGGAAGGGGCACTACAGCCGGGTAATCTTTAGCTCAAGGAGGGGCGGGGCTAGAGTTAGGGCTAGGGCAGAGGAGAACGTCGAGGGAAACGACAGAGAGCACTGCACATATAATAAGTCCTAAGACTCCTAACACCCCCCCCCCAAAAAAAAAAAAAATCACGATCTATACCGCATTATTGTACTGTGCTCTATAGCATCGTAATTATACAGCAAATCACGAGCGACCAAAAAAAAAAAAAAAAGTAAACCACGGGGAAAAACAAATCTCAACCAACCAACCAACCATAGTTTCTACATACGGCACCAATATGGTATTATATCATACCTGCAAAAATAAACGAAGCTTTCTGTAGCGGTCATGTACTCGTACGATACGTACTATACGTATATTTCCCCGGAGGAGGGGGGGGGCTTTAATTACTCTCTTGCGCTTTCCTTATAACTATAGAAAAAGAAGAAAAAATTGTACAATAACTAGTGCTATATCTCAGACAACCTATCTATCTATTACTTTTCCCCAAGTTTTCTCCTAAGGAACTCGTGCGATGGCTTTAATCAGCCTTCGCCCGAAAATCCCCGTTTTTAGTATGTGTGTTTGACTGAGCAGAGCGCATTACTGTAATCGGACCCTATGCTGGGACTCCGGGGCTGCCTCTGCCAGCATGATCGGGCCTTGGAGAGTATAGTAGGTGTTTTGGTGTGCCTTTCGTTTCCTTTCCCTAGAGGAGGAGGAGGAGGAGGGGGAGGAAATTTTGGACTGCCTGGCGTGTGGTCCGTTCGCCGTGTTTGAGGGTTTCACGAGTGAGGGGTTATGACTAGGCCAACCGTGCGCTGCTGTGCCCGGCAATTTTGAAGTTATCATGGTATTATTATTCTGTGTGAAGTTTCTTTGCTTCGAGTAATGATAATACTCTCTTTGGTATGGTAGCAAGAATTCCAGCAAGTAAGTAGGTAACACGGTAGTCCTTGATAAAGCACTATGGAGCTAAGCTAAAGTAAAAGTATGATAAAGCCCCAAGGTTTTGACGGAAAAATGGAAAAAACATGAAAATAGAAGAATAGGGCACCATAAGGAAGAAACAACCACACGCTAAAAGAACCACTCGCCCCCCTTTTCTCTTCCTCCATTCCTGGTGCCTCCCTCGAAAAGATGCCTCATTCGTCCGCCCCGTCTTCAGAATTCATTCACTAACTACCATACTGCAAGCTGCTACTAAATCACGACGACGACGACGACGACGACGGCAACTGCTATTTCCACCTACAACAACGTACAAACCGACCCACCAGCCAGGCAACCTAAACCACACACAGAAGAAAGAAAGAAAAAACGACCAGAGAAACAAACCAACTATCAGAGAACTTTTTTCCTTCTCTCAAACCTCGTTCCTCCCTCTCCTCCATAGGTCCCACGAAGAGTTAGGAAAAAATGAAATCATTAGAAGAAAGGAAAAAGAAAAGAAAAGAAGCAAAAAGAAGAAAAAAGGAAAAACTATTTTATCTAGTCTGTAGGTTGATGTTGCGATCCTCCATCTCCGCCGTCAAAGCCCCTTCCACGCTTGGGCCCACCCCTACCTCTTTGCCCACCGCCGCGGTCTGAACCGTAGGCGCCTCTTCCACGACCTCGGTGGTATCCACGCCTGTATCCGCCACCCGTGTTGTTATCACTCTCACTTGTGTTGCCACCGCCGGTGCCTGTTCCGCGCCCCCATTTGCTGTCGGACATGCCGGGTCTTGAGTTGCTGAACGGGGCGAAATCATCCATCAATTTGACCCACGGTTCACCCGGGGAACGCTTCACTTTCAAGTCTTCCGGTAACTGTTCCAGCGTTTCTCTGGCGACTTCGATGCTCTCAAAGTACGCAAAGAAATAGGTATTTTCTGGTCTGCTTCTGGGGTGTTTTGTTTCTATGCGCTGAATCTTGCTCCGGATTTCCGAAGAGAATAGAGCATGAACTTCCTCTGGGGTATTTACGCCGGTCACATAGAGTCCGAACTGTTTTTGACGGTCCTGTGGGGAGCTAGCCTCTTGATGTTGAGGTCCGGTTGGAGCCGCGACCAGAGCCGTAGCAGGAGTATCAATCTTAGGCATGGCAGGGGGAGCTGGAGATTCGGTACGTGTGCCGTTACTAGTAGATGGCTTCTCTGCTGCTGCTATCGGCAGAGGCGTGGCGACCGGGGTGGCAGTTCTGTTCGCAGGGCCACTTGGTACCGGGCGAGGTGTTGCTGGCTTCGGAGCGACCGGTGGTTCGGCCTGAGCAGGAGGCGGGGTAGGCTGCTTCGGCCCGGTTGGGGTCGTAACAGGCTTTGGTTGAGGGGGGGCGGGCATTGGCTGCTGTTGATTTCTTGGCCCTGACGGAGTGAAGGGAACTGCCGGGCCATTCTGTGGAGTAGTGTTGCTAGCTCCAGAGGGTCCAGATGGCACATTCACATTAACAGGTCCAGCATTCGAGGTTGGTGCCGACGTAGCAGTTGATGTAGCAGGCGCAACTGATGACTGTTGCTGTTGCTGTTGCTGCTGCTGTTGCTGCTGCTGTTGCTGTTGAGTCGCAGGAGCTCCTTTTCCACCCCTATGGGCGAAATTGAACCCTTGTGCTCTCATCTCCGTCCCGATACGGCCACCCTCAACTTCTAGAACAAGCCAGCCAAATGCAGCATCTGCCAAGTTGAAATTCCACATATTCTTGAATGCAGATTCATCGACCTGTCCAGCTCCAGGAGCAGTGTTTGATGCCGGACCACCAAACGGGTTTCCACCATTGGCACTTGTAGGCATCTTCTCTACGATATCCAAGGCATTATTCAAGAGCGCCTGCTGAGCTTCGTTTTGCTGAACGGCGGGCAAGACTTCGCCCTTGACGGTTTCCCAAACATCATTGAATGATGCTTTCGACGAGGCTAGCTTGCCCCGATAATGATCCAGAGTTGGGTTTACACTGAACTCGTTGTATGAGCTACCATATCGGAAATGCAATCCAGCGGATATCGAGAAATCCGCTTTCAGAGTAACCGACAATTGATTTAACAAGCCCTCCCTTGCCGGTGAAGCGTGGGTGACAAAAATTCGAGTTTCTGTGGGGTCATATACCCGGTTTGCTGTGTCAACGAGCTCGCCCATTTGTAAAAGTGTAGTCCACATGGTCCCTTGTCCTCCAGGAATTGTAGTCCTTCCTTCGCCGTTGTCAAACAACTTATGCATGACCACGGCACCACCAAGACCTAACAACCTAAGCTTAACACCGCCA